CCTTATATATAAATGAGGATAAGGATGCCTCCTCTACTAACCTTAAATGTGGTTCAAAGGTTTCAACAAGGTTTGTGATGGATGTTAAATTCTGAAGTCCTACGTGCATGAATATAAAGCATTAAGCAAATATGATTCCAAGTCAAGCCAATTAGAAGTTGGAAAAAATGGTTAACAAGCCATTGTTAAAAATGCTTAACACCAGCTTGCTTTATCATTAGGAGAAAGCATTTCAGAATATCTTATATTCATATTTACAGATTTTTTTTTTTTGAGACAAGAGTCTCGCTTTGTTGCCTAGGCTAGAGTGAGTGCCCTGGCATCAGCCTAGCTCACAGCAACCTCAAACTCCTGGGCTAAAGCGATCCTTCTGCCTCAGCCTTCCAAGTAGCTAGGACTACAGGCATGTGCCACCATGCCCGGCTAATTTTTTCTGTATATATTAGTTAGCCAATTAATTTCTTTCTATTTATAGTAGAGACAGGGTCTCGCTCTTGCTCAGGCTGGTTTCAAACTCCTGACCTCGAGCAATCCGCCCGCCTTGGCCTCCCAGAGTGCTAGGATTACAGGCGTGAGCCACCTCGTCCGGCCTTACAGATGTTTTATATATAGTGAAGACAATGATTGCTTTTGTGGGTATGAAAATTTGGTTTTTTTCCTAGTTAATTTTTAAAGCTGTGCTCTCTGCCTTTGTCTTTAATTTTTTCTTTACTTCCTTACTCCTGTTTTGGGGCGATGCCTTATGTATTGGAGGCTAAAGTCAGGTCTCTCTGGATCTCACTTTTAGGATGGTAACTATTTCCTAAGCCTTACTGACAGTTCACAACTGAGAAACCCTATCTCTTTGACATAGCACCACTATACAAGTACTGCTTGGAAGTCAGTGACCATAGCTTTGACTTTGCTTTAAAGTTTACTGTTTCCTAATTGCAAGTTCATGTCTAGAAATTTATCCTGTAGAAATACTTCACAAAGCACAGATTAACAAAAGATCATGATGTAAGGATTATCAAGGAGGCCTGGAATTTTTTTTTTATTTTTATTTTTTTGAGAGAGAGACTCACTGTGTCATCTTGGTTAGAGAGCAGTGGTGTCATTGTGGCTCACTGTAATCTCCAACTCCTGGGCTAAAGTGATCCTCCTGTCTCAGCCTCCTGAGTAGCTAGGACTACAGGCGCATGCCACCATGCCTGGCTAATTTTTCTATTTTTTGTAGAGACAGGGTCTTGCTCAGGCTGGTCTCGAACTCCTGACCTGAAGGGATCCTCCTGCCTTAGCCCCAGAGTGCTAGGATAATAGGCATGAGCCACCACACCCAGCCAAAAGGGAAAAATTGAGACCAATCTAAATGTCTTTCTGTAAAATGATGACCAAACAAATTATACTGGAGGAGCCCCAGGTTCAGATGCTCATTTTTACCTCTATACAAGTAAGGGCTCAAATGGCTTAGGAGATTTTCTACTCCCAATATTCTGGCTCTCCTTGCTTAGGAACCAAAAAAACTTCCACGTTACACTGCCTTCATTTTCCTATTTACTGATCATGAATGAGCTTTCTGCTGTATAGAAACATTTGTTGTAGTCGAACAGACTATATTTGACTTGAAATTTGACAGATGAGGCAGAAGTTTGAGATACAAAGGTAAAATGCAATCTGAAAAACTTCCTGATAATTTAGTGAGTAGGCCAAGGAAAGGCCAGTGGCAGAATGACTTCTCACTCAAGTCCATTCACAGCTTTCTCTTTTAGCTTTTCTTTCTTGCTGCCCAAAGAGACAGTAAATGGAGTGCTCTGATCTGTGTTCGGTATTTGAAAAAGCCTAATGGAAGTCATACATTGACCTTCTAAAACAGGCGTCCTCAAACTACGGCCAGGATGTGGCCCGCCGCTACTCGTCCTGCTTAGCAGCCCACTCGTCCCGGGCCCACAGTGTGCATGTGTGGAGTGTGTGCCACACTCTCCAACGGTCTGAGGGACAGTGAACTGGCCCCCTGTTTAAAAAGTTTGAGGACCCCTGCTCTAAAACATCATTAGATTTCTTTGCTAGAACACTATCAAATCAAAGTGATAGCCCCAGATTGTCTCATGTTGATCAGGAATTCTAATTGGCACTTACAAACTGTTGATGAATGAAAACATGAAACTGAATTATTTGATAAGTTCACTCTGTTTAGTAGGAAAAAATCCTTTCAAAACATGAAGTACCCGAGGGAAAATATATTTTTAGTATTGGAACTGCCTGAACAATCACTGGTCTGTTACATCAAAGGAATTTAACCTACCTGTGTGTGCACTTTATAAGACCAAATCTCAAGCTAAAATTTTAGATTTATTTTACATTAGCAATATCCTCTCTCCCACCCCCAATACTCAGTCTTTGATAAACTTTACATAAAATGCACCAATATTATAAAACATTGACTGAATCCCCCGAGATGCACAGGAGATAGAGTTGAATGTATTAGTTAACAAGAGGAAGTCACCTTGGTTGAAGAAACTAGTGTAATGTAATAGAAAGTTTGCCCAATGGCCAGGCACGGTGGTTCACGCCTGTAATCCTAGCACTCTGGGAGGCTGAGGCTGGCGGATCACTCAAGGTCAGGAGTTCGAAAGCACCCTGAGCAAGAGCGAGACCCCCGTCTCCACTAAAAATACCAAGAAATTAATTGACCCACTAAAAATATATATACAAAAAATTAGCTGGGCATGGTGGCACATGCCTGTAGTCCCAGCTACTCGGGAGGCTGAGGCAGAAGGACTGCTTGAGCCCAGGAATTTGAGGTTGCTGGGCTACAGAGTGAGACTCTGTCTCATAAATACATAAATAAATAAAAAGAAAGTTTGCCCAAGATTTTTATTTTTGTATATATTATTTGAAACAAAAAGTTTTTTTCAGTGAACAAACAATTATAATGTATGGATTGCACTGTCCAGGCAAGAGGAATAAAGTTTAGGAAATAAAGCCCAAGACACACTAAGGAAAAAACAGGCAAGTTATAGGTAAAATGTATGATAGAATCCCGTTTGACTAAAAAAAAAAGGTTAAAAAGGTATATTGTAGTATACATATTGACAGATATGTTCATATATGCATAAGGACGTCTAGAAGGATACACACCAATTTAACTTGTTCCTTCTGGAAAGCAGGGTTGAAGAGAGAGAACTTTTACTTTATATATAGACTTCAGTACCATTTGAACTTTAAAGGATTTATCACCTTTGTAATTAAATGAAACCCAAAACACCCATTTATATTTTTAAAAGCAATGGAATTAATGACCTCAGCTACCATGTTCTTCTCAAGGATTGAACAGGTGAATTCAGGTGTGCAGAGTGGCACAAGTGCTGGCAACTCACATCATTTATTAGTAGGACTTGAGTCGTGCATAGCTGTGCTAGCAGGACCACAAAGATGTGCTCTGCTTTCAGCAAACTATGGATGTGCCTGACGCCCCTCTGTAAACTAGGCAGAGAAACCCATGGTGGATGTGTAAAAGTTGATGCTGGCAAGAGGATGTTCGTCTTCCCCATTATCCCCTCTGGTATTGCCAAGGAGACTGCATCAGAGTCACTTCCCTGTGATTTCACCCTATCATATTTGGCTCCTTGGTCCTGGTTACATCTCCAGCATTCCATTCTGCTACCTCTTCTCTACCCACCCACCCACCCACTGTATCCTCCCTCAGGCCTTATCTCTGCATTTCTGCCCTGGGCAAGACGTCCTGATAACCTGATCTCTCACTGCTGTTGCTCCTCGCCTCTATGAGGATTGCTTCAAATCAGAGTAAGCGTGAAGTGCACGCAGGTTTTCTGCCATCCTATGTGGGCTTCAGAGGACATGGGTTCTTTGTTTCAGCTTTCTTTAGAGACCCAGAGCACCATGAAATGAGAAAGTACAATACATACCTTTTTGGGTTCTTAGATCTTCATCTCTGCAAGGACATTCTGTTGATAAAGCATGTTATGTTCAGTAGGGCGTCTTATCTGAGCTAGATGGTACAACTGTCACATTTGCGAACTAAAAATAAAATCCTAAGCCTCCTGCTAACTGAACAGGCTCCTGTTGGCCAAGGAGACCACAGAAAAAGACTTAAAACTGAGTTCCCAGGCATGACTGGATGGGAAGTGTAAAGCAAGCATGATTATACACATGCATTTTCTGCTATAACTTGTTAAATATGTGTATTTCACCACCTACTCAGTAAAAATCCTGTTCCCTTTTGTCACTCCCTTGAAACGTGTTCCTGGCTCATGGCTGGAGTAGTGTTTCCCAGCGGGTCAGAATAGCCACTGCAGGTTGAGACCCCTTTACAAGAAATGAAGCTCTCCTTTTTTTAAAAAAATATATAAACCTCATGGTTTTTTAAAATTAACACATCCATGTTTCAGCCCTCTCTAGAAACCAAAAGGGCTATTAAATTACCATTCATATTCTGGAAGCACAAATTTCAAATTGGTCATCAGGCTAACATATAGGGGAAAATGGGGGCAGTAGTAAGGTGATGTTTTTCTGAATTGCTAAAGAATGTTACTGTTGGAACCAATGTGCTGAGCTACACTGTCATTTTAAATATGTGCCAGACCCATGGCTATGGTTGGGGGCGTTATTTATATGCTCAGTGCTGACTAGAAACCACCCAGAGCCTCTGAGCTCTTGGCGGGAGTGGGCTCACACACAAAGGACCCGGGCTTTATTTTTGGGTTTTATTTCATTCACTCATTCTTTTTTTTTTTTTTTTTTTTTGAGATAGAGTCTTATTCTGTCGCCCTGGGTAGAGTGCAATGGCATCAGCCTAGCTCACTGCAACCTCAAACTCCTCCTGGGTTCAAACAATCCTCCTGCCTCAGCCTCCCGTGTAGCTGGGACTACAGGTGCGCACCATGACACCTAGCTAATTTTTCTATCTTTAGTAGAGACAGTGTCTCACTCTTGCTCAGGCTGGTCTCGAACTTCTAAACTCAAGCAGTCCTCCTGCCTCAGCCTCCCAGAATGCTAAGGCGTGAGCCACCACGCCCAGCCTCATTCACTCTTTAAAACATTTTTTTTTTCACAGTTTGAAACATAATTTACAACTTAACATTTACACTGGCAAATCTATAATTTATTTTCTTTTTTGAAAAACAGACAAAATCCACAGCCTCTGGCATCAAAAACTTTCCACAGGAATGTTCAGGATCAGGGGAAGCTTTAAAAGTGCAAAATAAATTTTCAAAGAAATAGAAAGCTGAGGGAATAACCTCTCATGATAAGATTTTTGGAGGGGCAATCTAATTTACATCCAAGTTTGCTGCAGGGGCCTCTCACTGGGTATTATTCTCTTCCATCTCTTCTTTTATCATGAAGGTTACCAGCCCTGACTTCTGACAAGCTGAAGAGCAGAGTTCTGAAAAGCAGGGAGCATGAAAGAGGACACACTTGCTCTAGCCAGTTTCTACTGGTAGCCTTTCTGTATGAAAGAGGAGGAAAAAAATCATCTGATTATCCTTGATTCCTTTTTTTCCTCAGGAATTCCTCACCCTGTTTCTTCGTGGCACTGGAAACTGTCCTGGCATGGGGCCTGGCTCCCTGTTGGGGATAGGGCCCCAGTGTTTGTGTTTACCGGTGTGTACAGGAGGTGGCCTGGGGGTGAGTATCTTCTGTGTGTCAGGTTCGAGAGCTGCAAATCAGTTGTGTGGCCCAATCAAGTGGTGCCTTCAGAGCCATTCTCTAGATCACTGATAGTTCCTGCCTAAATATTCCAAAAGATCCCTTCCTGTAGCTTCGGATTCACTGCTTAGGGAAAGGCCTCTAACTTCTGGCAACTCTTTACCTGTCACATGGGAAGTAGAAAAGATACGGACATTGGGGACCTGACAGCAGGGAGAAGAGAAAGGAATGTTCTAGCACTTCTTCACCTTTGCATGGGGGAATTTGCAGCTGAGGACAAGGAACACATCACAATCGGGATGGTACCTTGGGTCTGTAGCTGTGATTACCGGAGAGAGAAAAGAGAATGGAAAATGAACTCATGCCTGCTATTAGAGCTTGCCAAATGGAAGTCGGGAAGGAGAAACTTCCAGGTAAACATGGTGACCAACAACCTGAGAGAATAAGGGCCAAGGACGGCTGTGGTCCAGTCCCCAGTCTCACCTGGAGCTCCAGTACCCCAGGGCATTTTAGCAGTTTCCAGTACTCACATAGTATAGTGCTTTGCAGTGTAGCTTTCCAGCGCCTTGAAGAATTCCTAGGGATGCTTACGTTGCTCAGAGAGCTCTGTGCGTACTGTGTGCTTTTCTTGATCCCCTGGCCGTGAGGTAGGAAAAGGCCGAGTGTTCCCCAGCCCAAGCAGGAGACAGCAAGGGCCTGACTTGGGACATGGCGTGCTAGTGACCGAAGCGGACAGACCCGAAGCCTGAGATTACTGATTTTCCAGCTTTTGTAGAGGTGGCGTCATCCAGCTCGTCAGGAGGCCAGAGGCCCATAGCAGAGACGAGCTGCGGTTTTCCTCACCCTGGCCTATGTCTGGGGCACGGGAGGGAAAAGCCAATTCATGTTGGAACGAGGGAGGAAGAGAAAGATCATTTTCTCTCTACTCCTTCTGTCCAAAGCTGGTCCCTCAAGAGTGCATCGAGCTCCTCTCCCTAAAGCTCCAAGCCACGGAGCCTCACTCTGAGCAACTCCCTACAGCACAAAATAGCGCCCCCAGTCCTCAATCTCCTGCCTCTGCCGCTGAGGCAGCAGGTTGTCTAAAAGCCCCAGGTTTTCCCACAATGGCTCCCGCGGCAGTGCTTGTGGGATATGAGATGGGGTCGGCAGGCAGAGGTGACAGGGGCACAAAGGCACAGGGCGCAGGTTCCAGTGCTGGCTGCACATCAGTCTGGAGATGCCCTGCCCTCTGACGCAGGGACTCCACCCACGGGCCGTCCCCCTGGCCGGAGCCAGCAGCCAGCACCTGCACCGTGCCATTGGTTATGCGTCAGCGCCGCCCTGAAGCTGCAGCCAAGCGAAGCTCCTGCCCAAAGCCTCAGTCACTATTCTCCTGGAGCTCAGCGTAACTTCTAGAACCATCTTTGTCCCACCCGTAGTCTTCAACTCCATGCAGTCGATTTCGTTAGTGTCAGCTGTCCCTTCGGTGGCAGGCTGCCGTGGCCAGGCCACAGGAGGCCAACACAGGGCTGTAATGGCTGCACTTGCTCCTTTTGCTGGAGAATGGTTTCCTCTTGAGGTAGGAATGCAGTTGGGCCCAGCCTTGGCTAACACTCAACATCTTGCAGCTCAATCTCCTCAGTGGTGCTTTCTGCAAAGCAAAGGACAAGTCAGTGAGTGGAAAACCAGCCACGGGGCGCTTTCTTAGTGAGAACGAGACAATGCGTGCCACCCCCAGCCTCAAAACCATGCGTGGATTGCCACAGGGCCCCAGGGGGGAGGGGTTACCTTTGAGTTTGTGTCTTCTCTTCCTCTGGAATTTATACGCACACTTATTACAAACCCACAAGAGGCTGATTAATACTGCGGCCACGGCAGTGAGAAAAGCGAGAAAGACAGCGACAAGGTGCAGGTCTTCGTAGAGGATCTCTACGGGGTGGGGGTGAGGAGAAGGGGAAGACAGAGACGTCGCTTTTAATATGGCGCGGTCGGCCTCCCGCACGCTCGCAGCTGAGAGAGGTGCCCGCCTGGGACGGGGACCGCCTTACCCGAGACGTGCAGCACGATGGTGCCGAACTGGCTGCTCCCCGGGCGCTCGGTCACGGTGACGATGTAGTAGCCAGAGTCCCTCACGCCCACGCTGAAGAGCTGGATGGAGCCGTTGTCGAAGGTGCAGACTCTGTCCTGGTGGCTTTGGGAAATGTTGGCCTGCGTCCCCGGCTTCCACTCCACGATCTTCTGCATGCCCCAGTTGGACGTGTACGTCCATTCGATGGTGGGCACGCCGTGACAGGAGTATTCCACCGAGAACAGGATGTCTTGTTTCACAGTGGCATTGATGGTGGGCTGGGGAATGTACAGCGACACGCCCTGACCTGCAGGATGATGGGCTAGGTGTTGGGCCCACTCACACGAATGTATATCGTTGTGAACTTACACAATTCATGAATGTGTTTCACAAGGATGTATTGGGTGCCTGCTACAGGCCAGGCACTGTTCCGTGCTCTAATGCTGAAGCTACAGTGCTGAACAAGACACAGGGCTCCCTGGAGCTTACGTTCTATAAGGGAGACATACAGGGCGTAAATAAGCAAACAAGATAATTTTAGATAATAAGAAATGCTTAAGAGATAGCTGGCCGGGCGCGGTGGCTCACTCCTGTAATCCTAGCATTCTGGGAGGCCGAGGCGGGAGGATTGCTCCAGGTCAGGAGTTTGAAACCAGCCTGAGCGAGACCCCGTCTCTACTATAAATAGAAAGAAATTAATTGGCCAACTAATATATACAGAAAAAATTAGCAGGGCATGGTGGTGCATGCCTGTAGACCCAGCTACTTGGGAGGCTGAGGCGGGAGGAGGGAGGATCGCTTGAGCCCAGGAGTTTGAGGTTGCTGTGAGCTAGGCTGACCCCATGGCACTCTAGCCTAGGCAACAGAGTGAGACTCTGTCTCAAAAAAAAAAAATATTAAAAAAATTAGATAACAGAATAGGGTAACAGTTACTGGTGGGGGTAGAGGTGATCATACACAACATTAGATAGGATGGCTAGGGAAGACCTCACAGAGGAAATGACATTTGAAGTGAGACCCAAAGCACAAGGAGGAGGAGGAGGGGGAGACGGGAAGGGGTGGTCGGGGAGGAGAAGGCACCCCTGTGAAGACACGGGAAAAACATTTCAGGCAAAAGGAACAACAAATGTGAAACCTACATGGCGAGAATGAGCAAGGGGGTGTCTGAGCGACAGAAAGGCAGCCAATGTGCTGGGATGCCATGAGCAATATGGAGGTTTAACAGATGAGGCTGGAGAGCTGGCTGGGAGCCAAGCCATGATGTCAGGTAGTCAGGGGGGTGGGAAGCCATAGGAGGGTTCAGGCAGGAGGGTGATATTCCCCATTAAGCTGAGAACGTCTGCCATGGGGAATGCTATGGGTTGAATGTGTTCCCCAAAGTTCATGTGCTGGAAACTTAATCCCCAATGCAACAATGCTGAGAGGTGGGCCCTTTAAGAGGTGATTAGGATAATGCCGTTATTGCAGGAGTGTCTTCTTGATAAAAAGGATGACTTCCCCTCGCCAGATAAGGCCTCTCGATCTTGGACTTCCCAGCTCTAGAACCTGAGCCAAATAGATCTCTGTTCATTATAAATCACCCAGTCTCAGGTATTCCATCATAATACAAAATGGGGGGCAAGAGTGGAAACAGGGCCAAGTGCAGTGGCTCATGCCTGTAATCTCAGCATCTTGGGAGGCCCAGGTGGGAGGATCGCCTGGGGCCAGGAGTATGAGACCAGCCTGAGCAACACAGTGAGACCCCATCTCTACCAAAAATAGAAAAATTAGCCGGGCATAGTGGCACACACCCTGTAGTCCCAGCTACTCGGGAGTCTGAGACAGGAGGATCGCTTGAGCCCAGGAGTTTGAGGTTGCAGTGAGCTATGAAGACACCACTGCACTCTAGCCAGAGGGAGACCCTGTCTCAAAAAAAAAAAAAAAAGAGTCAAAGCAGGAGGAGCAGTCAGGTGGCTGCTGCAGGAGGTAGACAAGAGATTGGCTTGAAGATTAGTGCAAAGCAGTCAGATTTGGGATACGCATTTGGGAGTAGGGAGGAGAACATGCTGATGTGGGGGCAGGTGAGGCAAAGAGGCATAGAGGTTTCTGCTGAGTATGTGTATGGGGATGAATCGTAGTGCCACTGGCTGAGATTATAAATACATGTTCTTACACATGTCCTGAGCGGGTCCCATGTGCCAAGCCCACTGCTACCTGCTTTGCGTTCATCATCTCAGGAAAGCCTCACACGACCCGTTGCCATTCTAGCAAAGACTTTCATGGAAGAACCCTAAGCTCAGCAGGACTAAATAGCTTGTCCACGCTCACTCTGCAGGGCTGAGATTCACACAAGGGCTGCTGACTCTAAAGCTTACACATTTAACCTCATGCTCAAATCAAAGGTCAGCGGTTGGCAGTGGAGGGCATAGGATGTGACAAATGCCTCCTACGCAGAGAGGGGTGGTCAAGGCTGGCCTGAGGCTGGAGAAAGAATAGGGCAGGATTTCAGCTTGGAGCCCACACCATGGTTTCCGACTCCACTTCCTATCTAGCCGCTTCACTCTTTGGGTGCCCAGTTGCCCTGGGTCCCCTGCTGGGCTGTTCTTGATAGCCCCACCTGTCACTTTTCCAGGCTTTTCTCATTGTCCTCTCCCACCCCACCTGTGTCTCTCTCCTAAGGCCTGGCTAGGTGACTGGAGATGACCCAGTAAATTTCATGCTGAAAAAATTGGGAGTCATAATGGTTTTCAAGAGTTACAGCTCTTAAGTAACAAATGTTTTCGCTTCAAACTTTGTATTTTTAAAAATGTTAAAAGTTGAAAGTCATGTATATTTTGCCATATTTTATATATATATATATATACATATAAATTGTAAGTAAAAAATATAAAAAAATTTGCTGAACCATTTGAAAGTATGTTGCAGACATCGTGACACTTCACCTAAGTACAAGCCATTCTCCCACATATCCACAACATGATAATATATCCAAGAAATTTCACATCGGTATAATATTTTCTAATATATGACATATATTCAAACTTCTCTAACTGTCCTCAAAATGATTTTTCTGCTTGTTTTTCTATTTTAATGCAGAATCCAATCAAGGATTGTGGAAAGCTCGCCAAATTCAGTTATCATGTCTTATTAATCTCCTTCAATTTAGTAACATTATCCCACCTTTTTTTGTGTGGCTTTCATGACATAACATTTTATAGAGTCCAGGTCCGTTGTCCTATAGAATTCCCCACAGTCTCATTCGTTTGGAAGGAAGGTAAAAATACTGCAAAGGTGATGTTTTCACTATCATCACTCCAGGAGGCAAATAATGTGGGTTTGCCTCATTGTTGGGAAAGCTAAGTTTAATCACTTGCGTGATATCTCACAAGTCTCTTTTTTTTAGCAATAGTACCTTTTCCCTTGTCATTGGTACACCATCTGTAAGGTGATAGTTAGAGATCATGTGACCACCCTGTCACCCAGCAACTATGCATACATAGATCTTAGCATCCACCAATGAGCCTTGCCTATGCCAGTTATTTCCTAGGTGATGCAAAATAACAATTTTTCAATTTTATGATCCCTCCTAAATTTACTGGCTAGCATTCTTCTTTAAAGAAAAATTCTTTCTCTGTGCACCTCCCCACTCTTTTTTTCTTAATGTCTCTACAGACTCATGGATTCTTTTTTTAAGATGCCAAACTCCATTATGATCATCATAATTTTTCCTGCTGGGTTGTCTTATATTTGGCCAGTGGGAGCCTCTTCAGGCCATTTGTGAGTTCCTTAAACAGTCTTCACTGGTTTTTAAGCATTTCCTTGAATGGATTGCATTTTAACAAGAGCCCTCATGTTTTAAAGCAAAGATTGAAAAACTTGGGATTAGGGAAGATTGGTGAGATCATCTTGAACAGGTGGTCTTTTTGCATTCTGTGCTCGTATCACATGGTGTGGCCATTAGTTCCATTCATGGGCCACCTTTGGTGATAGAAGCCCAGGATGAAGAGTCCTGGTCTGGTTTTATACACCCATGGGAGCTTGATAACAAAAAATCAGACTCTCCAAGGTGAAAGCCACCTTACTGGCCAACACCCAACTGGGTGGTGTGGGAATTGAAAGAGCTCACCATTCAACCTCTGTTTGACCTCTTCCTTACAGTGATAGAGAGCTCTCTTACTCATAGGGCAATTTCCCATTTGGGGAAGGTGTATTTAGAAAACTCCCTTTTATTTCAACCTGAGCTCTGCCCCCTTGGTAGCAATGCAGACTACAGATGTTCTCTTCCAGTATGTGGGAGCCCTTCAGATACCCAAGAACTGTTCTCATGACTCCCTGGATCACTCCTCATTCAAACCCTCAATGTGTGACACAGTTATTCTTTAACACAGAACAAAGTTCAGAGTTTAAAGTTACTGGATTAAAGAAGAACACAGAGGACAAATTCCAGACCAGCCCTAGGAGGGCAGGAATCATGAATTTTCTTCACCACTGGGTCCCCTGCACAATGCCTGGCATATAGTGGTTGGTCAATAAATGTTTGCTGAGTAAATGAATAAGTGAATGACCAAATATTTATAGCAACAGGAAGCATGAGCCATTTCCTAATAGGAAGGTTGCTGCTCTGGTGGTTTGAAAAATTAGGTACATCTAAAAGCTGACACACATATAGGGAAGAGAGCTATCATTAATTAAGGCCTATGTGCCAGTCACTGACTCCTATATGTACTTTCACATCCTTATTTCTTTTGTTTTTACATGACAGTACATGCCCACATGCTAGTAAATAAAGGTAGGATTTCAATGCAGTCTGATTTCAAACCCTGCATCTCTACTTTGTGCTCATCTACCTATCACTATTTGTCTAGTTTTCTGATTTTTTCACAATATTTTAATTGTTATTTATCAAGAGAAACTATTCCTCAGCTGCATTTTCATGCTCAGGACACAAGTCAGGGCAACTTCTATGTAAATCACCAAAGAATTCTTTTGTATTCAGAATCACTTTGACTCTGAAAGATGATGATTATCACAATTTAATTAACAATCCGTCACCACCATGCTGAATATAATCACCAGAATTTGTTCGCTTATAACCGAAAGTTTGACTCTTTGGCCAACACCTCCCCCTTTCTCCCAACCCAGCCCCTGGGCAACTACCATACTTTTCTATGAATTTGATCTTTATAGGTTTCACGTATAAGGAAAATCATGCAGTATCTGTCTTCTGTGTCGGCTTATTTCATTTAGCAAATGTCTCCAGGTTCATCCATATTGTCACAAATGGCAAGTTTCCTTCTGTTTACAGCTGAATATATCATCCTTATATTT